CTTTATCACCAAATTTCCAAATTTTGCATGCCTTAGATCTATTCTTGTTTTTTCTTATAACCATTATCTTGGTTTTGGAAGTATTTATCTCCATATTAATGGACAAGCAGAACTGGTTTAGCTCGTTCAACTGGGATTGCAGATCATCAGCAGAATTAGCTAATAAAACTAAGTCATCAGCATATAAAAGGGTGCAGATATTTCCATCACCCAATCTGACACCGGTAGACACAGCATTAATCTTTGAGTCTAAGTCATTAAGAAACAAAGTGAACAGCAACGGACTTAACAAACAACCTTGCCTAACACCACGATGGCAGGAAAATAGATTAGTTAGGCTGTCTTGGCCCCTTACACAGGACTTAACTTTTGCATACAGGGAATTAATGACATCTAACACTTTACCATTAATACCATAAGACAACAGTGTATCAATAAGAATTTTGTAGTCAACGGAATCAAAAACTTTCTTAAAATCCACAAAGCATAAATAAAGAGTTTTCTTACTAGCAAATGTGTTCTCAATTAAAGCATGAAGCGTAAAAATGTGATCGGAGGTTCGATATGATTTTCTATAAGCAATTTGATTCTCCTTGAGAATGTTAAACTCTTCCACTGTCTGATTCAGGCGGTTTAGAAGAATACCCAAGAAAAGCTTTCCGAAAATGCTAAGCAAGGTAATCCCTCTATAGTTGTCAAGATATTTTGTGTCACCACCTTTAAAAAGCAAAACAATGACACCTACAGACCATTCTTCTGGGAAGTCACCAGAATCTAGAATTTTATTAAAAAGTTTAACAAAGAGAGTAAAATAACGGTCATTTAAATGTTTGAAGAGTTCAGCATTCAACAAATCAAGACCAGGTGCTTTGCCAGATTTGAGTTTTTCAACCATATTCTTCACTTCCAATAAATCAATTTGTTCATTTAGTTTAGAATCTATAAGAGTGAATAAGTCGTTACCGGAATCATCAGCAGCCGCAAAGTGACTTGGGTTTTTAGGGGGAGAAACAGGAGTATTTTTACTAAGAAGATCATTAAAAAAGGCATAGATTTGCTCATTTGAAAAATCTATTGACGATTTACTGGAAGATGACATTGAAAGATTTTTCCAAAACTGCTTTGGACATTCATTTTTAAGCAGCCAAAGCTCTTCTTTCGCATTTGTAGGGTAGGAAGCGCGTTTTCTTTTCAAAAGAGCTTTGTGTCTCTTTTTCTCTAATTTGTAAACCTCATGTAAAGTATTAGAACGTATTGGGTCAAGTTTATTGAGTCTCAGGGCTGCTTGTAAGGCCTTACGTGAAGTACTTAGCAGTTTTTTGCTGGACTTACACTCGTTATCAAACCAAACAAAATGTTTTTTCATCGGTACGTTACTAGAAAAAATTTTCTTAGTTCTAAGACAACCTTCCGCAATTTGAGTTAAATGTTTGCGCATTAATGCAACAGTATGACCAACAGGAATGGACTTGTCATCAAGATCAGTTTCCAAATTTTCCAGAAAAGCCAGGGTATTATCATTTTCGATAAAAAGTTTAATTTTCTGATGGGAATCAACACTGGGGATGTATTGTTTTGTGTAATTGCTCATAAGAACATCAACCGCCGAGGAAGATACATTGTCGGGCTTGCTAGAGCTAACTGTTGAAATATTACAATTAACCCTTTGCTTAATTGAGATCTCAATAGGAGAATGATCGGACAAGCTACTCATGTTCCCAACTTTAAGGCCACTAATCAGACCAAATGTTTTCTGATTTGCAAGAGCGTAATCTACTGTGCTGTTACCATTGGACGTGAAACAAGAAACATGTGATGAGCGGTTTTTATCAGTACGGCCATTAAGGATCCGAAGGCCTGCAGTTTTACAGAATTCAATTAGCAATCGACCGCTATGATTAATTGTATTATCACTAGATTGCCTAGTAATTAGAGCAGTGTCTGGCGAGTAATCATTAGCGACCGGTAGAAAATCGTCTACTGAATCATTTACGATAAAATCTGGCAATGTCCCAGTTCTACCATTGAAATCACCAAGAATTAAAATAGATCCTTTTGCGTCATAATTAGCACATTCGTCTTGTAAGATATCAAAATTTAGGCTTCTGCCAGATTTAAACCAAATTGAGTCACTCGGTGGAATATAAACAAAGCAAACAAAGAGATCATCGGCAAGGCCAAAGGCAATTTTATCAAATCGACACCAAAAATGATATGCATCCGATTGTAAAATATGGCACCATGATGCCAGAGAGTTACGAACGAAAAGAGACATCCCGCCAGAAGACCTCCCATAGCGAGAAGTTCTGCACCCCAACTGATGGAAGACAGAAAAGTTTTCGTTAAGATCACGAAATTCGGGATCACCTTGATCTCGCCATGTTTCAGATAGACAAACAATATCATTATTTTCCAGAGCTTGAGAAAGATCATTGTCACGATCACCAAATGCCTCGGCTACTTTTAACTTTTTTAAACCGTTGATATTCCAAGCGCAAAGCCGTAATGTGCTAGGAACAGAGTGACTGACCTTTTTTGGCATAGAATATAGATTACGAATTGCACGATAACTATTTGATTGTGTATGTAAATGAAAATTAGAAAAACGGTGGTGAGTTTTTATAAAAGGACCATTTCGGCCACCCCCCTATGCACTGTTTGTAAGACGGAAAAAATCGTTGTATGAACGTACCTCGTGAATGAACGAGTCGTTGAAATGCTTATATTTTATACGACCGTCAATAGTCCATACGCGCTCAATGTTAAGGGGTCCACGATTAGCGTTTATTTCATTAAGCATACTTTTTATGCCACGGGCGAGGTCCTCTGTTATTTTAATGCTCTTGGCTTCCTTTTTCTTTTTCATAATATGTTCCTTCGACTTGTGTGAAAGAAACTTTACCAAAATTGCACGCGGGTACTTTCCAAAGCGTCGTCCTACACGGTGGACGATATCAATTTCAGAAGCCGTAATCTCCACATTTAGCTCCGTCTTTAAATGAGAGATGACAACCTCTTCGACATTTTCCCCGTCAGATTCGATAACATTGTGAATCCTCACCGAGCTTTTTCTTGAATATTGTTCCAGGCGATCAAGTTCGAAAGCAGCATCCTTTACACGGGAATTTGTTTCATTTACATGAGAATTCAAACAATCAAGGTCTTTCTCAAAATTGACTTGCCTTGATTCCAGTTCCCCGACAGAATTTTGAACTTTTCTTATTTCCTTTTCAACCAGATCGACACGAGAAATTATGGCCTTTTGATTATGGAGAATTGATTCTTGGCCCACCTTTAAGCATTGTAGAACTTCATGAATGGCAGAAAGCTCAGATGCGAAATTGGATGATGAAGAGCCTTTTTTCCCAATTTTAGAGGTATCAATTGATACAGGCATAGTAATCGAAGCATCGGTTGACTTGGACGAGCTGCTGCAATTCGTTGTGGGACCAGGGTTGAGTTCAACATCACCAGATAAAATCAAGCACCAAACCAAGAAAGAAGCGGGAGAAGGCACAGATTTGCACCGATACTTCACCAAAATTTTACGGCACGATTTGGATGCTTTAAATTTGACCCATTGCTTTTTCCCTTTACCCAGTGAATCGACGATAGCATAAGAACAACAAGCATTATAATCACTATCCAGGAACGAGTATGTGGCCGAAAAACGATAAAGAAAAAGTGCGCAAGCCAAAAACATCAGAGCTCCTTTAAACACGACCATCCTGCGCGCGATGACTCAATGAAAAATCAAAAATCAAAAATGAAAAATCAATTTCAAGTCACATAGTTGCTGGTAAAAGTCACCAATAAAAGCTAGAAGTACCAAGAAAATTTTAATATCGATTTCAAAGGGGTATTTTCTAAGATTAGTCCACAATATAATATTTAACAAATTAAGCCAAAAAATTCTTTATTATGTTCAAATTTCTCTCAAGTTTTTATATCTCGATAGGCACTCAATTATCTACGAATGGGTTCCCGAGTAGATGCTGTTGCACAACGAGTTCAGACTGCTTGCACCACTAAACAGGTATAATGCCCCTTTAAAAAATCTATGTGCTGATTTATCTTTCAGTTTTTGACAGTTTCCTGTTGATTTTCAAACAACTTCGAATGATGTTTAAAGTCAGTCAAAAACTGTATTACCAAAAACAGGTTCTTTATGCAGAGGTGTAAGTATAGAGTCCTTGGTATAACCAACTTTCACTTAGAGTTAGGAAAGTCAGGCTCTCTGTTATTCTAGGTGTAGGAATCATGAGGTGTGGCCAAACCAAGATGAAGGACCAGGAAACAACTCGATAAGCTAGACTTATCAGGGTTCTGAAAACTGCCTCGGAAAGCTAGGTAGTAGTGAACATATTGCAGTCTTATCTACACTAAAGTTTTAAGTACACACACAATTGTTACTGATTACTGAAAGTTTTTTTTATTAACAGGTAACAAAATCCATGGCAGGTGTTGTAAGTTCAATGGACTCAGCTATGAGGTCAATGAATCTGGAAAAGGTTGTTAAATTTTGATAGTTTAGTTGTATTTTCATGTTTACTTAATAGTAGTAGGGCACAGTTTATATTCTTTCTATTTTAAATTGTTCTGGAGAGGAAGAAGTGCTATTTTAACTATTCTACTGTTCCAGTATGAAGGCCCCTCTTGATTCGGAAATTGATATCTCAATGTACCTTTTAGGGTAATTTTAGTTATTTGTGAAACCTGTAATCTTCATTTATGTTTGCATAAAAATTATGCTATTTATCAGGAAATTTCACCTGTGGTTTTCAAGATTTAATCAGAACTGAATGTGAGCTTTTAAACATCCAACAGGTCTCAGCTTTGATGGACAAATTTGAAAAACAGTTTGAGGATCTTGATGTACAAACTGGCTACATGGAAAATGCCATGGGGGATACAACAACACTCACTGTGCCACAAGTACTCAATTTTTTCTCAAGCATAATTATTATTCTTGTAATTCAGAACTGTATTCATTACAAATGCTGGGATTTATGATTTAATAAACACATTTCAAGCTGTTTTATACAAAAAATGCAAAAAATGTCAATTCTTTATTGCCACTAATTACTGCTAACTGATTCAAGGTTTCTTTTTTGAAACTTACATGGCTAAAATGATGAAATATGTTTAATGTTGTATTATATTTTATAGAAATTCAACATTGTGTTATAAATTTTATCATATCATGAGTGTTGAATCTCTATTATATGTTATGTAATGTGTTTTAAAAATTCTGAAAAACTCTATGAAATGTCGAAAAGAAAATCAACTTCATTACTAAATGTTGATAATTATCAAACAGGGTCAAGTCGACAGCCTGATGCAACAAGTTGCAGATGAACATGGGTGAGCAACATTCGAAAACACTTAAATCTGTTTAATATTTTAATATATTTTATATTAATAGTTTAAGAAAGAGCTAAGGAGGGAAGGATAAAGCTCGAATTAAATGAAGGGAGTGTATTTGTTGTAATCCTTTAGAGACAGTCTTCATAAGAAAGAATCAGAAGATTAAAATTCAAGGTGTAGATAATATTAAAGCAACACTGATACTAGTACCCCAATTCAGGATATATTTCTTTAGTTTAAACACCTTGTGTTTAAGAACCATTTTTCAGTCTGACTCATTATAAGGTTTTGAATTTAACAAGCAATGTGTCCTGAACCTATTTTTGCAACAAGACATGATTTATTTTGCCAGGGCCCATGAATCGCATTACTCTGGAAAAGGAGATCCTCTTTGTGTGGATTTATTCATGAAATTTCAGTAAATAGGTGGTAGCGTTACAAATGTTTGGTAGTG